GACACCAGGTTGCCTAGAGAGGGCGAATAGGTCCAGGTTAGAAATAGAACAGGTCAATGTTCCATGCTAATCAGCAATGACGTCAGGTCATGAATGGCCACTATACTTCGAGGGCAAGATAGGGAGACCTAGTCTCAAAAACAAAAGAAATAAAACCAAAACAGAACAACCAAAAAATTTTACCAAAAATAAAATCACTGGTTGACATGAAACAGAATCAAGAGCATCATTTCTTTGACTACTCAAATAAACATTTAACTTTATGATATTAACAACTGTATTTCTTGATTAAAAAATTAACCTATTTTATTTCTTATGTGCATGTCATGGTAAATTCTAGAATGTATTTCCTTTCATTCATGAATGGGGGAACATTGGGAAGAATTACCAAAAACCTAAAGGTATAGAGACCACCAAAGATTGGGAACATCTGTCCTATGGCATAGGAGATAAGAAGATGAGATAGCTTCCGTAGACCCCCATTCACTTCATTGTAGTGTATGTTACAGAATCATAGCTTTAGAGCTGGAAGGAACCTTAGAGGCCATTGAATCCATCTTTTCTCCTCTTTATACAGATGAGAAAAACCAAGGCCCAAAGTGGAGAAGTGACTTGTAGTCGTAGGCCAAGGGCCAGGATCTGAACTCAAGACCTTGGCTCCATATACAGAGCTCTTTCTACTGTAACCCTTCATTTAACTGAATTTACTCTTCACATCATAAGAGCAGGAAGTAAACACTATGGGGACGCTCAGTCTAAGTGATCTTGTATTCCTGGGTTGTACTTATTTACTAAAAAGCTAGGGACTCTGTTTTCAGAAGACAAGACTTCTCAATCCATCAGCCCTATGGATTGGCCAAGAACTTTGGGATTTACAAGCCATGTGAGTCAAGGAATCCAAACCAAGGGGGACACGCGGCAAGAAGACCCTCTGTCACCCATTCGTTTTCCTGCTTGTGTTGCTGATTCTGGACCCACGCCTGAAATAAAGTTGTTTGGGAATTTTTTTTCCACAATTGATGAAAGAAATATAAAATGAAATGGTACCTGGTTTTCCTCTCAGCAGGGATACAGTTTTGACTTTGCAAGTTTTCTACTCATTACATAGAAATGAAACCCGAATACAGATGGCTTTATGCATGCATGGGCAAAATATATTTTCCACTGTTTCTAAAAGGCTGAAATCATTTTTACCCAATTCCTAAATCAAAGGCTTTGCTAAGCTTAAAATCAAGCAGTTTAGCTTAGAGTCAAGTTCAATAAATCAGGAAAGACTCAATAGAACGCATTTCTGAATGTAACCTTGGCAACGCCCAAAATGCTGCAACTGAATTTCGGCTCCTTTGCCTCACTCCTAGTTTCTTAAATTGGAATCTAAGGAGAGGAAAAATTAAGCAGAAAAGAAGCAAGATTCTGCAGCTGCTTAATTCTACAAAACTACGGTCATCTTAGAGAAATCCTTCGAGCCTCAGTTTCTTCATCTGTAAATTGTAGATCATCATCATCATTAGTAATCAACCAGCATTTATTAAGCACCTACTATATGCACTGCAGGTACAAAGAGAGGCAAAGGACAGTCCCATCTTGAGTTTAGTCCCATCTCTCTCATCCATGATGAGTGACTCTTGGCAAATCACTTAATCTTTCAAGATTCCTGTTCTCTTTAACACTATCAAGAGCAGAATGACTGCTGATCTGCACTGGTAGAGGGTGTTTCCTCACCAGGGATATCCCCACACTGATAAAGTCCCAAGTATAGGCCACCCCCCAAAAAAAGGTGTTGCTGTGACCATTGCTTCTATGTTTTAACCTGGAGAATGAGTTCTGTTTCTTCAAAAATCTGAATTCGAATCCCAGCTCTCCCACTTATAGCTTTGTGACCTTGACCAGTCACTTCATCTCCCTGGGCGTCAGTTTCCTATAAAATTGGAGGATTCAGTAAAAGGTCTCTGAGGTCCCTCCCATCTCTAAGACATCTAGGATATACTTCAAAGGGTGCAGTATGTTCAGGCAGCCTGTTGTATAGCGGGGAAGAAGACTCCTCAATTAGAAGGCCGTTGCCCCACTTCTACTATTACCCATTTGGCTGTATATCCTCGGACGAATTATCTCACCTGTATCCCAAATTCTTCAGCTGTAAACATGGGATGAGAATACCAGACTTAGAGGCCAAGATTGTATATGAGAGGTCATGGATTCAGAAGCATATGGAGGAGTATATAGATCAACAGAAATGGCAGATGCAATTAGAATCCTAGCAAAGCCACTCTGTGCTTAAAGACAAGAACCATCAGAGGGCCCCCAACTTTCAACAATACATTACACCATCAAATCAACTTCTCTTTTGATCCAAGACAGTTTTGCCATTCCTGGAAAAAAGTCTAATCTCACCTTCAACATCCTCAGAGAGTTAGCAATGTGGCTTAGTAACTGGTGGAATAAACTTAAGAGTTCAGAGGATCATAGATCTAGCAGATTAGGAAACTGAGGCACAGAATGGATAAATGACTTGCCCACTGAATAATGACTAGAAAATGTGATAGGCATCATGCTAAGTGCTGGAGATACAATTAGGAGAAAGAGACAATCCCTTGCCTTCAAGGAGCTTACAATCTTATGGGGGAAGACAACATGCAGGTCTTTCTGATTGTCAGTACCCTATCCACTACTATTTATTGCCTCAATGGATTTCAGATCATTTCTTGCTCTGCTACTGACCAGGTTACTGGTAAATTCACTCAACTACTCAGTTTCTTCATTGTTAAAATACAGATGATTTCTAATTTCTGGTTATTTGGTGGCTTCTCTGAGATCCATGAAGCTCCCATGTGATAGGCCAGCTCTGACTTAGACACAATTTGTCCTCCAGCCTGTCTACCCACCCTACTGGTCACCCTTGCCAAGGATCTCCTATATTTGGGAACTCCCATGTGCTGAACTCAAACATCCAGGTCTCTCATGGTAGTCAATCTTTGGTATATCCCAGACCATGACATCAGAGATGGGGAGTCAATCAGATGTCTCGGTGAGAACCAAGCCCTCCCTAGAAAACCCACCAGCCTACTGTTATTGATGGAGAAGTAAGAAAAGAACCTGGCATCTTCACTATTTAATCAATGGAGGACTTACAGAACATGGTAGATCAAGTCGAGAGGGCAGCTTCTAATAGGACCACCACTGAAACCAGCACTTCCCCACCCCTAACCTTCTCCTGCCCGAAGACCCAAGTTTAAGCAACCTCCCTACTGACGGTTTTAACTCTTCCTGCCCACCCTTAGATCATTCATGTTACCACCTATGCCTTCCCTAGTGTCAGCTAAAAATAAGACCATTAAAGTCTTCTTGCTTTTAGCAGTTGCTAGCCAGTCAGACTCATTTGTGAAAATTTCCAAGTTGAGTATAATGGACTGGGGTACCCGTTCACCTATAAAATTTGATAATTTAGATATTCTCGCTCTACAGACAAATGGCTCTATTTTCCAATTACTTGCTTATAAGTTAAGAGGTAGGTTTGATTAACTACCCAAAAACCTGGATGCTTAACTCACTTAACCTAATCTACTGTGTTTGAAAGTTGAACAAAAGCATGGTACTCACTTGATGGCTAAATGCAGTTTCTGCAAAAGGACCTTCTTCTCAAGGTAACTAAAGAAAAAAACATTCATTACATCTTAAAAAAATTTTTGAAGGAACTCTTCATAAATAAGATCATCTGGGGTCCATTTATTATTTCCCAGTTCCACCTGTGAGTGCCACTTGGCCTTTGTCCTCCTAATAAACAAACTAATGTCAGCTGACAATTCACTTTCTTCCTTTGGCATGTGAATAACAATGTTTTGAAGACAAAATTTCCCATCCCAATCAGCAGACTCAGAAAAGGTTGGAGAATTATAAGTAAAATCATAGAACAATAGATTTTGAAATGGAAAGGACTTTAGAGGTCATTCATATCTATCCATTATGAACATCTTGCTCTTAGCCTTGCCTATGATTTCCCCCTCTTGAAAAGCACCCTCCAGACTAGAATTCCAGAGACCATACCTCCCTCCAATTCAATTCAATTTCAGTTCAATAAATATTTATTAAGTGCCTACTTAATAAATCCCCACCACTTTATGAATGAGAAAGAAAGCAGGAGTCAAACTCTGATTTTCCTGAACTTCAAGCCCAATGCACTATCCACTATAAAAATCATTCCAACAGAAGCACTTGCAATCTTCCATCTTCATTGAGAATGATATTAATTGAATTCCTTTCTTAGACACATATATAACAGCTAGCTTTGCAAAGCACTTTATGAAAGTTATCTCATTGGGTCTTCGGAATAAACTTGTATTACCCTCATTTGACAGATGAGGAAACTGAGGCCAAAAGAGGTCAAGTGACTTGCCTGCGGTCACATGGTAAGTGTGTGAGGCAGGACTCAAATTCAGGACTTCCTGACTCCAACTCCAATGCGTCATCTACTGGATCACTAGCTGTCAGCACTCAGTGCACAAGCATATGAGGTCACATCATGGATAGGACCAATGCTTTGGATATGTTGAATGATAGAAGAAAAGAAAGAGTTATAACCCCTATTTTGCTTCTCTTTTACCCAGGTCTGTCTTAAGTCCACATGCAATATTCTTACTACAACATCATGTTGCCTCTATTTTGACAATACCTTAAGTCTAAATGAGTCCTGTCAATTCCATTTTGCAGACTGCCAGGCATCAGCTCTAGCCACATTCTCAAGGATCTGCCCTTCACTTGGAATGTCCTTCGAATCCGCTGTTCTAGACCCCTTTTCTGTTCACAATAATGCCCCGTCTTCCTCCTGGGGATGACAACTACTCCAAATACCAATACACCAAGACCAGACATCCTGATCCTTCTCTAGGTGGCACCTCTCACACATGGGCACAACAGGGTCAAGTACTGATGAGTGTCTAAAACATTCATTTCATTTCTTATTCAACCTTTGCCCAGTAAGGCCGAAGACATCATTGAGTACTTACAAGGCACAGCATGGCGGTAAAGGTTATCTCTTATGACCTGCTGCAGCTCATGATCAGGTGAACCTTTCTGAAAACGTTGATTGAGATAGTGTCTCAGATCCTTGTTCAGTCGGCTTCCTGTAGGGAAACCAACAAAGACATAAAGAATAGTTAGAAAAATGAAAAATTCCATTTCAATCTTAGATCACTGGACATAAAAAGTCCAGCCACCATTCATTATGACATGACGCAGAAAAAATCTTCCTTAGGAAGGAGGGCAAGAACTGGGCCAGTATAGCAGAAGGACAACCAGTTTGATCTGAGTAACAAGCATGACTTTGCATGAAATTAAGGGGCTGCAATAACCAAGAATTCAGGTGAACTTGTGAAACACAAAAGAGTTGGTGTCCAAAGGAAATGTCACTTAAATAACAGTTACTTAAAAATAATAATTCATTCTATCCATTACGAATATCCTGCAATTAGTCTTGCCTATGCTTTCCCCCACCCTACCTACCCTCTTGAAAAGCACCCTCCAGACTAGAATTCCAGAGACCTTACCTCCCTCCAATTCAATTCAATTTTAGTTCAATAAATATTTTTTAAATGCCTACTGTATGAGGTAGCTAGGTGGCACAATGAATAGAATTCAGGTCCTGGAGTTAAAAAGACCTGGGTTCAAATATAGCCTCAGACTAGCTGTGTGACCATGGGCAAGTCACTTAACCCTGTTTGCCTCAGTTTCCTCTTCAATAAAATGAGCTAGACAAGGAAATGGCAAACTACTCCAGTATCTTTTCCGTGAAAATCCCAAATGGGGTCATGAAGAATCAGACTTGACTGAAAAATGACTGGAAAATGTGACAGGCATCATGGTAAGTGCTGGAGATATTATTAAGAGAAAGAGACAATCCCTTGCCTTCAAGGTGCTTACAAGCTTATGGGGGAAGACAACATACAATAGGAAGCTAAAGGGAATGGGGTGGCTGCATGGTGTTTTGGAAGCCAAGCAGAGATGGTCTTGAGAAATGGAATTACCAGGAAGGTTGTGAATCCTTTAAAGCTTTAGGAGAAGTTCAATGCTCTACTCTCCAGGTCCCCCACCAGAAGGGAAAAAGGCAACTGAGGATAAGTTGATCCAAAGGTACTTCTGGTGGTCTCAGTTTCCTCATCTGTAAAATGAGGTGGTGAAACTAGATGGCCTCTGAGGTTGCTTCACTCTCTAGATCTATGATCCTACAATATGGTTCTCTCTGAGCCTCAGTTTCCTCACCTGTTAAATGGACATAAGTATAGCCCCTATTTTGTAGAGATGTCCTGAGGACAGAATGAGATTAATGTATACAAAATACTTTTCAAACCTTGAAATGATATGTAAAGATGAGCCACTCATCAAAAGCTGCCCAATCAAATCTGGCTATCCTATGTTTAGGACAATAGCACCATGCCTTCTCTAAATCTAAATCTTGACATTTATACTTTCCCCAGTGCCACACAGCAAAGTCAAACGTATAGAAGGCACTCAAAAAATATCTGTTAATTGCAATAGTGTCTGTGGAATCAAGGTACATATAGTCAGCTGCATGGTAGACTTCAGTGTCGGGAAATCAAAGTAATCACTGCTGCTTTGGTTCCCCTACACACCACCTCAAGGGATTCTGGGACCATGTAATGTACAGGTTAATGTACCAAGTGTACACAGAGAAGGGTATAGAAAGCAATAAAGACCACTGGGCCAACTGTGATGAAGCTTTCAAAGAAGGAAAAAGCATCGAGAAACCTGGCCCAGAGTGGATGATTCTAAACCCCCAAATCCCGTCTATACAGACACGTAAAAGGCCAAAGTTAGCGCTGCTGCTGCCTGTTAACATTTACTCTATGCTCGATGAGAAAAATATCCCAGCCTTTGCATTCTACAGAATATCATCATTTTGGGCATCTGATCTGAAATTAATTGCCAATTATTCCGGGGACACTTCTATAAATCTTCCCCTAATTGTCAAGAGCAGTGATCCAACAAGATATTAAATCACAAGAGTGATGGCCTGTCACGAAAACATACCTTCTTCTTCATTTTCTTAGAAATCTAAGATTTCTGTGTTAATAGCCAGGGGAACATACAGCAGGAAATTAGGAAAGTGCAATGTGGTCCAAAAAAGCTCCAGGCCTTCTTTCAAGGCAACTGTGCAGTTAGAAATGAAGGAGAGAATTGAGGAAGGCTTTGGAGCCAAAAGCCCAGAGCAGCTTGCCCAGGGTCATATAATAGTAAGAGAGATGGGATTTGACCCAAATGCTCAGCCCCTTCCTGAGGAGGCTGCTACTAAATACTGGACACTAACATGGAAAATGTATCACCTATTTCTGTCCCTACATGAAAATTGACACAGCTTAGACAGAAATACACTTGTGGAGAGAGAACCAAAGCTATGGCAGGCAAGTGATCACAGGCAGGCTTGAAACAACTCAATAACGTGTCAATTTCCACCAGTGTTTGTTCAGATTTAATTATTGCCAGCCTAAGCACTGGGTTCCAATCCCATCTCTCCTGTTTCTAAGCGACTGTGGGCAAGCCACTGTGGGCTCTAAATTCCTTGTTTACAGAATAATGGGAATAAGACTAAATGGCCTTTGAGTAGTCTTCTAAGTCTAAATGTGTGATCTTGCTTGGGTGCAAATGCTACCTCTGGTTCTTTGTAAGGGGGGTGACCTTGGCTACACATCTGTAGACCTCAGTCTCCCCCTCTGTAGAATGAGGCAATGAGCCTACATAGATGGTCAATAGCATGCCTTCCAACTTTCAGTCTATGACCCTATGAACTCTACTTTGACCCTGTCATGATTTAAAGTGAAAATTCTCCTCTCCTTCCCCAAAAACGAATTAATTATTTAGGTTGCTTTAACTTTGCTATCACCTACCCAACACCTCTTAGGTAATGGTGTGTGAAGGGATATGATTTCCTTGTCATAAGTCCAGTCGTTCCAAAGGGCTTTAAAGTTTGTGGAATGCTTTACCTATAGTTATTGCATTTGAACCTAAGAACAACCCTGTTATTTTCCCCATTTTATGGAAGAGCAGACAGGTTCAGAGGTTAAGTGTGCTTGTGGTCACATAACAAGGTTCAGGGCCAGTATTTGAATCTACTATGCCAGCCAGTAGAAACCAATATGTTGATTATATCAAAAGCAATTCTGGATTCTCTTTCTCTCATTAATGAAGTTTACTCAAGAGAGTAAAGTTTTGGTCACTTGACTTAATCCAATTTTGAACGAGAAGACAAAATATAATCAATTTCTCACAGTCTCCAGGCTTGACCACACTTGTGGCTTGTGTGGTCCACCTGGGTGGCTTGACTGCCACAACCTGATGGGCCAGAGAGGGAAATCTCATTACCACTAGCACTGTACATTCTATCCTTTTCAAGTTGTTACCTATGAGGGACCGTTTCTCTAATGATCTGGAAAGTCATCACATGTTCAGGTGATTTTTGCTTCAGCACACACTTTCTCCCAAGAACATTTGTAGTTTTAGAAAATGCTAAATTTATTAAGGCTAAAGAAATGGGCTTATCCGATAGTAGCAATATTAAAGCAGGGAGATTTGTGTCATGTCAGCAGCTCAGATTTGTAAGAACGTGAGCTGCATCGAGTTTCGGGGGTGGATGCTGAGAACAGTAAATCAGTATACAAATTAACTAGTTATATATTCACTCAGAAACTGGTGGGAACTTAATGTATTTAAATCTACCTTGTCTGAAATTTCTTAATAAAAACAACCAGCTTCCACAGCATGATACTTGGCACTATGGGAAAATTCCAATTCTGCTCAGCCCTCAGGAAGTCAAAGGGGAGGCATTTGTATTAAGTCTCTCAGAGCTCACACTAATGAGCTTTGGGTAGTGACATTGAATCACTCACAAAAAAAAAATTAATTTCTGATCTGCTTATATATTTGGTTTGTTTATATATTTGGTTCTTGTCTTGCCATTGATAGAAGATGATATTCTGGTAGCATGGAAGTTGGCAATAATTAACTCTGAACAAACACTGGTGGAAACTGACCCATTATTGGGTTGTTTCAAGCCTATCCATGATTACTTACCTGACATAGCTTTGGTTCTCTCTCCACTGCCGTGCTTCCGAGCTATGTCAATTTTCACATATGGACAGATGCGTGTGGCACATTTTCCATGATGGCATTCAGTGTTTAGTAGCAGCATACCCAGTGAGCACTTGAGACTAATTAAGGTATTCCCCCACCCCCAACCCCTTTATGAAAGCAAGTCCTGGCATAGAGTTCCTTGTTACAGCATACATTCTAAAAGGCTGATGTCAGCAAAGTGGAAGCTCTGGCACTTCCTATACCATGATTACGTGTGCAAGTGTACCAACAAGTTTGTGTGTCTGCAGTGGTTTTGGGGACCCTAGCACCTAACGCAGTAGCTGAAATGAAGTATAGGTACTTAATAAAAGCTGGTCATTGTTTTTGTGTCCACAAGGGCAACTCATCCAATTTCTCTGAGCCTCAGTTTCCTCATCTGTAAAGTGAGGATAATAGCTGTACTACCTACCTTAAAAATTGTGGGAGAGAAAAAAAAAACTCTGCAACCTATAAATCACTTTAGAAATGTCTTTTTTTTTTAAGCTACCAATATGTAGCAAATTCTCAACTTAAATCCCAGCCTTTCTACCCATGGCATTATGATTAAAGCCATATACAGGTTTTTAAGATGTCAAAACTGAGGGATGGAGAAAGGGAGGCAGGTTTACTCTATATTTAGATTAAAATGGCATGTAGAAATTGCAGTAGATTCCCAGAAAGTAGTTAATAAGCAATGATTTCCAATGTACCTTTCTTGTAGACACAAGCCCCAGGATTTAAGCTTTTTACTCTTGAGCTCTGTGACATTTACTCTGTTTAACAATAATCTGTTTTCATGCAAATGCAATCTGCAATCCAACTGGCATTCAACAACTCTGGCCATGCAGAGTAATTAGTGCAACTGTTTCTCACCCTTCTCCCCAATTTATTCTCTCAAGCTGGCATTGATCATCTAGGTAATAAACTGAATTCTAATAAACATCCATGCAGCAGGAGGATGGAGACAAAATTTCATAGACTCAAAACAACATTGGGAAAA